GATGTGAGAGCCTTGTGTCCATTTTAAGCAGGCTGGCCTTTGGTCCGCCCCACGACGCGCTCTTCCAATCGGACGCTGTTGCAGGACTTAGCCACGCCCTGTGTGGTACCTTTTTTTTCATGCACAAGTCACATGCCCTCGTGGGGCGTACTTCTGGAAGTTTCAAATAACTTCTGATAAAAGTCTTATCACCAGAGAATGATACATAATATAAAATTTTCACTAACACCAATGTTCGGCGAATAAGACAAGCTCTCACCTGATATTAAACTTCACATATCTTACGTGCATATTAAATGCTTTGTCTGCTAAAACGAGTTATAAGGCAAATATTAAAATATCATGGTTTCAATAACACATCAAATATATATATACGGCATAACACATACAGTGGATACATTTTCTCTACTTATGAGTTTTAATCGATTGTCTGTGTACGTTCTGTTTCTTTGGTTGTAACATAAGGACGCGGGTCCGTTGGGGTTTCAGGAAGCAGATGTGATGGGAGTCATGTGTTAGTCACGTCAAGATCCCGTGGTGCGGGCCTGAGGGCACTAGTTAATTTACTGTCCTTTTCCTGTTTGGGATATAATAGTTCCATCCATTGGTGGTCATAAGACATCGTGGTTTCTATATATTGTGAACAAACCTTTTCAGTCCTTGATACAAAGAAAGCTTTGTTGTCTCTTGATTGGATCAGTCTTTAATCACTCCTCTGAGTAGATGACGACACGACCGGCAGGAAGTCGACCCAGAATATTGGAATCATGTGCTGGGTGATTAGCAAACCTCATGATGGCTGATAGGGGCATAATAGTAGTGTCCGTATATGATAGAAATCCCTACAGATCGTATTTACGAGTTGATCGCCACATACACATGAACACCACCACAAAGTCGTTATTACGAGTGGGAAACTTCTTTAAGCCCCGAGTTTCCGAGTTGGGGGCATGTCAATGAGAAACATGGCGGAATCGATGGATGCAACGTCTGTAGTTGACCGTAAGCTTTTGTTTAAATTGATAGTTTAGTTGTCCTATTGTAACACCCCTGTGGACTGTTTGTTGTGGTTTCTTCCCCTTGTGTTGGTTTAGCCCGTATAATCATTAGTTAATTACCTCATTGTGCTCACCCGTCTGCCCCTCATTATCTGCACTATATCTGTTCCTGTCTCTGGTATTTGAGTTTGTCGGTTATTGTGTGTGTGTGTGTCTGTGTCTGTGTGTGTCCCTGTCCCTGAATCTGCCTTGTTGTTTCTACATTAAATATCCTTATTTGAATCCTCCTCGTCATCCTGCCTGCCTCCACACACCTTGACCGTGACAGAATAACCGACCCTAAAGTACCCCTCATTTGTTTTTGTCAGTTTTTATTTTGTTTTTCTATGGATTACCCCGCCTTCGAAAACCTCCAGTTGGAGCAGGGGGAACGCTCTCTTGAGGACCACACAAATGACTTTCTGTCCCTGGCCCACCTCACGCACTACCCGCGGACAACAACACCAGGCCCACTCAGGACCCTGAGCCCAGCCCACCATCTCCCCGCGGTACGGAGCATAAACCTGAGCCCACCGATGACGGAGAGCCATTTCCCTCCGTGATCCACTAGCCGGAGCAAAGCCCCACGGCTGAGAAGAGGATCGCCTCGGATGTTGAGCCCAACGCGTCAGACCAGGTGCGAGAGCCGGTGACAGTGCCCACCACGAGGGAGCAAGCCGTGGACGGTGTGAGCGCGGAGAGGAGCTCCGCCCCCTGCATCATGGCTGAGGGTGAGCGGACTATGAAGGGAATTCAGGGCCAAAATGAGGAGGAGAGACCGCGGGATCCCCAGTCCAGCCCAGGAAGGGCTTCTGATGTTTCGTTTAGCCCAGGAAGGGCTCCTGATCCCCAGTTCAGCCCGGGAAGGGCTCCTGATCCCCAGTTCCGCCTAGGAAGGGCTCCAGCCCAAGAGCTCTCTCCAGTGCCCGCTCCTCAAAAATACACGCCCTCCAACCCGCTCCGGCCTCCTCCAGCGCTCCACTGGGCGTCGACCCGCCATCGCCTCTGGACTCCTCTCCTCTGGCTGCGCCTCGTCGCTCTGTCCTACCGGCTCCGTTGGGCTCCTTCCTCCCGTCAGCTCCACCTTGGTCCTCAGTCGCTCCGGCTCCGCCGCGGATCTCTGGATCTCGGCCTCCGCCTTGGTCGCCAGAGCCCTCGGCTCTACCCTGGCCCCCCGGATCCTCGGCATCCCCCTGGCTCGTTGGCTCTCTGTCTCTGCCACGGGCTCCTCCTCCACCTACTCCGCCGCCATTGGCCGGCCCCCTGGAGTCGGTGGACATTCCTCCCACCTGGCTCCTCCTCCTGCTCTGGTTCCCTCCTGTCGTCTCCCTGGCTCCTCCCTCCATCGTCACCTCCCTGGACTCTGTTAGCCGTCCTCCTCCTGGAAGTCCATCCTCCGCCGGAACCTCCACCTGTCAGCTCTGCCTGCCAGCCCTTTGCCTTCCCCTGTCACCATCTCGCATCCTCTGCTTTGTCCTCCTCCTCCTAGTCCCCCTCCGCCCCTCCCTCTCTTTCTACGGTGCGAGGACGCACCTTCTGGGAGGGGGGAGTAATGTAACACCCCTGTGGACTGTTTGTTGTGGTTTCTTCCCCTTGTGTTGGTTTAGCCTGTATAATCATTAGTTAATCACCTCATTGTGCTCACCTGTCTGCCCCTCGTTATCTGCACTATATCTGTTCCTGTCTCTGGTATTTGAGTTTGTCGGTTATTGTGTGTGTGTGTGTGTCTCATCTTCCTGAATCTGCCTTGTTGTCTCTACATTAAATATACTTATTTGAATCCTTCTCGTCCTCCTCATCCTGCCTGCCTCCACACACCTTGACCGTGACACCTATAAACTTAAATTGGTCATGTTCTTGTTACGCAGCTAGTTAATGAAATCCAAGTAAAAAAATGCAGACCCTGTTGTATTTTCTTGCAATTTATTAAAAGAAGGTACACGCCATCTTGTGCCGACTAAACTGACTTGAACGCACCTGACGTTGTAATTACGACTTGTCAACTCGTAAGTACAAACGTCCCAGGAGGACTTGAACGCAGCATAAGTGTCTTCTGAATAAATAAAGGCATGTTGGAGAACTGAGGCTGGTTGGGTGTGGCTTCACATGTCAACTAAAACACACATTTCTCTTGATGCAGTAAAACACTGTGACAGCAATTCTCATGAGACAAACTACCTAAGCTAAATGATGCAAACACAGATTAAGACCCCAGAGAATGAATATTCAACCTGCTTTAAACAAATACATACTTTACACCACTGCTCAATTTACTGTGTATTTGATCTATTTATAAATAGTGTATGTCTATCTGTTATGTAATCCAAATATAGCCATATAGAGAGCAAGGTTCTAAAATTCTAAAAGGGCTTAAATTCCTTTTCAGTCACAGTTAACAACACTCTTTCCTCTAACTTAATTTCATTTTTTATAAATGACTAAAATCATATATGGGATAATTGTAGCTTATGATCTTACTGTAGACATTACTCTCAATAACAGCGCATATGCATTTCTGACTATATTATGTGACACCTTTGCATGCTACCATTTATTCATAATGTTCGTAATGGAAAAGTCAATATAATAAAGTCAATATAACAATGACTATTTCACTATCTTACCTCCAATATCCAAAGGCTTCCTTTCTGGCTAAATTATTTAAGCAATAAACGCTGTAATTTTCCAATGCAGTAGTTCTATAGCAAGATAAAGCGCTATGCCAATCACTATGACTTGCACCATATCACTGTCTCTTCTCTAATTGACAGCCTTCCTTTTTAAAAATTATTTGTACATGTGAGCAGCTTGCTATTTAAGTCAACAAGTCTGTCGACTAGTTTGGTGCTGCTAGTAAATTTATCTTTTCAGTAACAGGTAGCATTTTCCTTTCTCTGCCCATATGCTCCACTTTTGGTATAAAAACCAAGGTTACATTGAAACTGTTATCAGCTGTTAAGCTGAATTTAAATGCATTCATAACGTATTTAGATTTTTTTTCCTGCTTGACAGTCCTATTGGAATTTGTACCATAATGGCAAAGGATCCTACTGAGATTAAATAATAATCTTCAATGCCTTGTTGGATATCGTTTAATCACAGTTTTGTATTGTGTAATGTTAAAGCATAGCAATCTTAGATCTAGTTTTTGTTTTGGTGAAACTCTTTAAAATCTTTCCTGTGTGATCTTTTAGGATGGATTCCAAATTACGAAAACAGTATCACTTTGACAAGCTTGTTTTCAAGGCTCATGCCAGGCTGGGGTGTTGCAGATCAGAGATTTCCTGCAAACTAAAAACACCACAGTTATTTAACTCAGTTTAGCAGGACTTTCAACATTGTCGCCTGGTTACATCACAAAAAACACACACACACACACACACACAACTGTCTCAGCCAACCCTAATGACCAAAACAGTTGCCATGATAACTGTGTAGGGATTTCGATAATATAGACTACACTCTTAAAAATAAAGGTGCTTCAAAAGGTTCTTCAAGCGATGCCATAGAAGAACCCTTTTTGGTTCCACAAAGAACCATTCAGTCAAAGGTTCTTTAAAGAACCATCTCTTTCTTACCTTTTTATAATCTGAAGAACCTTCTTTTGCCACAAAGAACCTTTTGTGAAACAGAAAGGTTCTTCAGATGTTAAAGGTTCTTTATAGAACTATTTAGACAAAAAGGTTTTTCTATGGCATTGTGAAGCACCTTTATTTTTAAGAGTGTAGCTTACAAAAAACATCTTTATCTACAAGAGAACATTCAATTACCTCTGTGCAAAATGTGACAAAGAAAACCTTGCATTGAGAAAAACATAAACATAATGCATGATACCCATATAGACAGATATGTAGTGCTCATATTAAAGCCTATTAAAGCAGCAGAACAGTTAAAAAGTATAGCTTATCCAACAAAATACGCTATCAGTGTGTGATTGCTTCATGTAAACAAACAATACACAAATAATGTTTTAGTGTGCATTTTATTAGCACAATGGTCCATTCATCAACAGTTATCATGTTATTTGCAGATTTTCTAAATCCAGAGGAACGTAATGGGAATGTTCACATTAAATGTCAAATGTCTTTTAGTAACATCCCAGGAATCAAGTTCTCTAAGAAAAGATGAAAACAGACATCACAGATGTCCTTTGAATGATCAAGGAGTATTTTGAAATTCATAAACTGAAAAGCCACATACAAAACACGTCTGCAAGCTGATATTTTTACATGTAGCAAACGCATTACATTATTTGTGCAAACATTGTAAATATTGGTTTATGGATCGGACGCTGACATTCAGAAACACACAACTATAAACTCACAGAGACGCATGCGTTTGGTAACGTTTGATAGGTATGGTCCCTTTCTTCGATGAATAACATTTAGTAGTATAAGGCAGAAACCAGAGAGAATAGTGTTGGTGGATTGAGATCATATAGGCTTGTACAGCAGTGTGGTCACATACTTCTTTTTGTAGCGGTGTGTCGCACTAAGAACCATCACGCCATCCTGTGTGAGGAGAGCAAACAGATGCACATCAGTGATATCAACTGAAAATGCTGGTCACCTCTACCATATCCTCCTGAGAACCAGAAATAAAAAGCTTTGTGAATTTAGTATTTTTTCATGTCATTACATTGTTTAGAGCATAAGAAAAAAATGGTAAAATAAAATTTTGGAAAAATTATATTTTATTCATAAGTTATGCTATGTCCTCTGTAGAGGACACCGGGACTCAGTTTTTCTAATAAATTAAATGACAATAGTAGACATGAAAAGGCAAAAACAATGGGAATTTTTTTTAAATCACCAATCAAGTTTTAGGTTTCAGGATTTTTTTATAACTAACTTTGTTTAAGGATGGTTCTCAACTATGTTATAAAATATATAACACAGTGATTTGATATACCATTTTGCTTTATGCAATATGTGTGTAAAAATTCCATAAACTGGTTTTCCCATTAAGCACAATGTTATATACACTGTTATATACACTAAATACACTGTATCTAGTTTGCTTATTAAAGTGCTGTTTGGACAGCATGTTGAAAAAAGAAGTGTAATAATGGGAGTAGTAATGGGACAGATTTTCATAATAATATCTAATATTTCATAAGAATATTGATAT